TTATGTATTTCCAGACTTTCAAAACATTTATTATTTTCTTGAGCGCTATTTTTTTCCTTTCTCATTTTCACTATTGTTTGTTTTGTTTCCATTTTTCTTGTTCTTTATGATTTAATATAATTATTTTTTTCTAATCAGTAATTGATTATTAATGTTTGTAATAGGGAGGGGATGGGGAACCGCAAAAACTCGCTTTTAAACTTACATTCACTATTTTCTTAGAAAATATAGGTGAGCTGCAGAAAATAATCTTGATTAGTTGTGTATATACTATGTGGAGATACGCTGACGTTGTTTCTATGAAAGAAGTGTCAGATTTCATCATAGATTCATGAATAGATATATAACAGAATAATGAAAAAAAATTTTAATAAAATACTGAAATTTGAAATATAGAAATGTCAGCTTGTCAAAAAAAAATCTAATGTCGACGACAGAAGGATCTGTTTCAGAAGATAAAGAAAAGCAGAATACGTCTTTATATCCATTTAAAAATTTAATTACTACAAATAGTGATGATGGCAACAACACTGCAATTCTGTAATTTTATCTAATCTTCAAGTTAAAGTTGCATGGATCGGTTTTCAATTAAGAACGTAATAAGAGTACTAAGGACGAAAAGAAAACATATTTTATGAAAAGTGACTTGTTTGAAGTGAACAAAGATCGTTTGAAAAATAAAGTTTTCATATTTGACATGCATAAATTAGTGTTCGAAATAAATATTTGAATAATTTCCTGGAAATAGTCTTTATTTAAAAGTTATGCCGAAGTGCGTAAAACACGTTTCATATTTCACTATTTCCCATTGATTCATATGGCACAGTGATGCAAAAGAAATGTATTGCATTACATATTGAGGTCGAGATATTTCGAAATATCAACGAAATATAAAGAATAAAATTAAGATCGAGAACAAATCTTTTCTTTTAATTATATAGTGAATTGAAGAAGAAAAGAATTGAGAAATAAACAAAACTCAGTAACATTTAATTCATGTGTTTGACTTTTCAAAGTCATGTCATTGTTAATCTATATTTTGTTTCCTATATTGAATAACATTCCTAGAGCGCATCAAAGATTTATAAAAGTAAGCGGAGCTCACAAGCATATGTTGTTAGATAGAAAAACACAGACAGCGAATCTTACCGTGACACTTCATTAAAAACAAAGAGGTAATATAATTATTTGGCCTTCTGATACAAAAGCCTTTTAGGCATAAATCATCAATGCAACTTCATCAAACAAAATTTATTTTTCTTCATTAAGATTTACTTTCTTCAATTCGTGAGTGTAGCGTTTGAGTGTGGACTGTGGTTGTAAGTGTTGGCGTGAGTGAGTGTAGGGAAAGATAAGAACAACATTCACATCCACGGCCACTTCTACACCCACATACTAAGAGATTGAATTTTCATAGAATCATTGAAACCTTCATGTCTGTTACATTGAAGTTTGAAACTAGAAAAATTGATTTTGTTTAAGATTTCGAAGTGAAAATCTACAAAAAATGTGATATTTTGGTGAAGACTCAATCAGAATATATACTTTTTGGAATCTGGTCATATGTAACCTAATCAAAAAATTTATAAGTTCAATGTACATTCTGAAGAAAGAAGTGAAAGCGAAGAACATCTGAGTTGTCTGAACGTCATCATCAATTTAAATGTATTTTAAAGAGAGATAAAAAAAATATATCTAAACTCTCTTCATCTTTATCTAGTTTGAGTCTATGTATGGCTGATGTTGGTGGTTAGTACGAAAAAGCTAGAATTCTTTCTAATAGGTTAATGCTTGATGCCTATGAAGCACAGATGAAGTTAATGAATAGCATCAATCTCGATATTTCTGTTGTCCACATATGAGATAGAATCGACACGACGAAGATCGGGTACACGTTAACCAAGAATACAAGCCACATGGCTAGAGTTAATAGGTGATATTGACTCCTGAATATTTTTGAGGTACAATTGTTGAAGATTCGGAACAGAAATGAGTAATGAATTTATCATCTTGCTCTTTTTATGTTCATCAAGTTGCACAATAAGATAGCTAAGTTGATGAGAACAAATGTTTATGGATGATAATCGAAAAGAAATTGTATATAAACCCTTCACGGTGAGGATAACGAAAATCATTGGAGAAATACGATGATGAACTTCTGAGCATGTATGTTCGATTGTCAACAAACGAGTATTATGAAAGCGGCTAAATTTCAATCTGATAAATACGATCATTGAGCACTGATAGTCGTTAGATACGAGATGCAAAAAATTCTAGCAATGGATCATTGACATCATCGGGCGAGAACAAACTAAGAGAAATATTATCGAGTGATCACAAAATTTCATCGATTCGGTTATTAAGTTCGAAAAAGGCTTGATAAACGTGGCAAATGTCCAAATAGTCGAACACATGCAACTAAAGTACATTTGGAAGTCTTTCGAAATATGTTGGAGTGTAGTCACTCATCAATTGATTTACCATCAATATCTGCAAAACATAGACAGAGAAAGGACATCAGGAAAATATTCACACGACAATTTAAGCAATACCAATAGATAGTTCACCAGTCCATCGCTTGTACTCTTCGATTTTCAGTGATATTTCATCTTTCTATCCCCGTGTCACTATTTAACATATATACACGTCCGTCTTGAGTATGCAAAAAAAAAGAATTTCGTTGTTATTCAGAATCTCATAACAGGACTTTTCAGATCCTCTATCAGCGAAATTTACTATACATATATTCTATTTGTGGATAAAATTCCGTCCGTTAAAAACATTATAGGTGCCGGTGTGGATCGTGCTTGACATGATATCCACAATGACACCGCACTGACACCCGTATCGACACTCATATCCATGCTGACACCGACGTCCACACCCACATCCACATCCACACACTCAAGATCGATATCTTCTGAAAATAGTCGAATCAAGTGGTTCTTGTCATCTAATTGTATTTAAACAATAGAATACAATCAAAATACGAAATAAAATAATTGCTGCACAAAACAAGTGATGATATTCAAGTAGGTTAAAAGTACTTTTGCTTTTGTTTTCATGAACGACTACGCTGTTGGTTGATATATGTATTCATTGTGTTGCTGATGTTTCATTGCTTCTCGACATGCATTTGCTTTGGCTATTTTCTTATTTAATCCACGTCCTTCGAATTGAGCACCATCGAGCATTTGAACAATACACACTGCCATTGGTTTATCACCATCCTTGTCTGTAGATTCTCTACAATTGACGAATGAATGCAAGAGCTTGCTAGTCAAATTGAAACATACTCGATTACTTTACCACCATGTTCTGAAAACAATCTTATTGGATTCAAATTAGGTTGACTAATCGATCGATCTAAGTCATACGAGCAGATATAAATAAATCGATTTCTTTTCAAACAACTATACCAAGATATTTTCGAAGTAAAGGTTCGATAACTTGCCAGACAGTTTCTAAAGAATTACCAGAGTCAAAAAAGATGGCACCAACAAGTGCTTCGAATACATCAGCCAGAGCTTTGGGAGCTGTCGAATCAGCCCATTGATCAAGATTCTATAAACGAACCAAAATTAGTCAATAGCTGTTCAAACATGTTAATTTCTATGTAAATTGAATTGCATCCGAAAAATTATTTAATACATAGAAACTTTACCGAAGAAAAGCACTGCAAGAAACTAAAATCAGGATTATTCCTAATCGTTCCTATTAAAACGGCTTATTTTTCTATAAAAAAAACGCGAATGAAGAGATACCCCATGCTCATATCTAGAAGTGTAAGCCAATGGTTCAATTAACGCTGATAGTTAGTGAATCTGGTGCTATAATGCTTTTCAGAATTTCATTAGTTTAGAGGACATTCGGGATAAAACTAAAAGACTGATAATAAAGTAAGTTATCATACGAAATTAGATTAGAAGATCAATGTAAACTGACTATGAGCGTTGAAAAAATTCAAAATCTAATATATGTATTTATGATACAGTGACTAGAACTTTTCCAAAAAAATCAATAATTGATTTACAATCCCTGGTCAAAAAACCTGACGTCAGATTATGCAAGATCCAATAATATCGTATGTGTTGGATTTTTTTAAAGATTTCCTCAGATTCTGATTATAAGATGCCGGCAAAAATCTTACGAGATTTAAAGACTAAGAAAAAGTATAAGCATAGGCTGAATACTTCTTGTCAGATTTTATCAGATCATATAAAAATCATACGAAAAGAAACATACATCAGAACATAATGTTGATCTTGCCTGTTCTTTTGCTCATTTGAGAATTGTTGATTCAATTACTTTTACTATGAAGAACAGTAGTTAAAAAGCAGAATCTAGCTGTGTATCTATTTCTTTTTTCTTATTTTTTTATACTAATAGTATACAAAACGATTAGTTTTGTTTCTTATTTTTCTATATTAACAAATATAGAAAATGTCATTTTTATTTCTTAATTTTCTATATTAATCAATATGGATAATAGTTAGTTTTATTTCTGATTTTTTTATATGGATAGTAGAGAAAATCCTATTTTTTATTTGTTTGTTTTTCTATGCTAATAATATTCAAGATAGTCAATTTCATTTCATATTTTTCTATATTGTTCATAAAAAAATAATAATACTAATTGTATTCCAACTCGACCGTGTTTTTTAACTGCTATTCTTCAGAGTAAAACTACTCGAATCTACAATTCAAATAAATTTCAATTTTCAATTTTAGATTATTTAAATAAATGTTTATATTAATTTTTATATTATTCGCAAAGATAAATGGAAGTGGACATATCAGTTTAAATAAATAGAGATGTCTAGTGTAGCTGGAAGTTCTAATTCTTTTTTTCACATGCAGTTTCGTTGATCTATCATTTTAACTACACGACAAAAAAGAATTGGAATCTCCAGCCAGACTTGGCATCCCCCAATGTTAGTTTTTGCACCGTTTGAAGAGTTCAAGGAAGAATGGGAGGGTAGGAAAAATTTATATGGAGTATGATAACAATCAGCGCTGTATACAGCATGGTATAAAATCGTTGACGACTGTCGTAATGTTCGTCCTGAGATATTATCCATATTCTAAAGGTAACATAGGCAATAATTTTTATGGAAATGATAGTAACTTGAAAGATCATCAAATAAAACACGGAGGATTTGCTTTTTTGTGAATTGATGACAATGAAAGATATCAATATTACTGAAAAGACACAAACTTCGCTTGGAATCTCATTAATTTTGATAGCATCTTGGAACTTGATTTAAGACATGTCTGAACTCTGTGGATTTAGGGCGTCACATTTTGATAGATTTATTTTTGATTTATTAGTTTCCGAAACTTCAGAACAATTTCTATAGCACAATATATCTTGTCTTGATTTGAATACTTTTACGCTCTTCCATAATTAAGTCAATAGCACTGCATTTTCAAAAAAGAAACATTCTTTTCTTCTTTTTTGAAATTAATACAAGAAAATGAAATAAAGATGTGCTCCTTACTTTATTTAAATATTGATCAGTTGATTGATTTTTTGAAAATAAATTTTCATTATGAATATACGAAGAAATCTCATCAAATAAATTAGGTGAATTATGAAGAATCTTTGTGTGAAGACCACAAGCAACTAAAATATAGGCAAGACGATCGTTGTTCAATAGATCCTGACGAATGTTTGTCACTCGACCTAAACGAAAAGAAAACGACAACTTTTTGATTATCATTAGAAGAAAAATATTGCTTACCAGGTGTCATATTTTCATTGTAATTGACGAAAACATGCCGCGTAACTAAAAAGTCAAGTATGGCATCACCGAGAAATTCTAAACTGTAAAACAGAAAGAACAATAACTGTAGGTTTAATTTCCATTTTGATTCTGTACCGTTCATAAGAATCTATTATAGGATTCGAAAAATTTGATGGATGAGTAAATGCTGCAATAAGATATGCTTTATTTTGAAAGACGTATTGAATTTTTGTTTCAATTTCATTAAATGCTTGATCAAAAAAAAACTTATTGATTATCTCATGATTTTGAAGTTGGTTGTCTGAAGTTGCATTTGAACGAATAACCGATGGTAGTTCCATTATGTTGCCTGAGAATACAAGAAAAAACTATTAGCTCTACTTATGAAAGGATTTTCGTACCTTGTTTATTGACTGGAATAACATCAATACCAAGCCAATGCATAAATTTAATCGTCGTTGTATAATTACTCGAAATAAGAAAAGCACCAATAAATGCTTCTATCATATCGCTAAAAGCTTTTCTTTTTGCATTTTGATGAGAATATCGTTGACTTAGCGTCAAATTAGACTCATCGATTATGTATCCGGGTGGTAACCAATTGGCATCTTTACCTCGAAAAACAATTTTATTAACATTCAAATAATTTATGAGATTTCTTTGTACAGCTAATCGATAAAGATTTTCATTTGAAATTTGTTTCATTTTTGTTTCTGTCAATAATCCAGCATTGGCCGAAGGATAACGATAATATAATGACATTGAAACAGCTAATTTAAGAAAACAATCACCAAGAACTTCGAAATTTTCATTATCCATTTGTTCATCTGTAGAACGTCGTGTTATTGCTTGAAAAAGAATATCAGGAGAAGGTTGTTGTTCATTTGTCATTGTATTTTCTATGTTTAATGAATCATATATGAATGATGTCAATGGAAGTAAAGGTCGTTGAGTCTAAAAATATTCCATTGTTGTCTCATTATTTAAAATATGACTGAATATTCTCAAAATATTCATTTTTGTAATTCAAAAAGAAGATATGATCAAAGCACGTATCCTCAGTAAAATACAATGGTTTTCTATAATTCATGTATTTTTTTGCGTGGATTGGAGCTAAATACTATTAATCTTCTCTTATCGCTTTTCAAAATGAAATACAAATTTTCATTTGTTAAACAATGTTCGCTGAATACAAGAAGTGGACCTGCAGTATTTACCCTTTGAAAGAGCAATGTTCATACTATTGATCGATATAGAATTCATCAGGAGTTTTATGAGCGATCTTGGATCAATCATTCTTCCATCGAGCATTTTCATCGATTTTTAAAATAATCTCAACTCATTCTTGTTTTCTCTATAAAGTTATCACGTATTTTATAATATGCCTCAATTTCTTGTTCTAAGCGGATTCTGAAAAAACGAATGTTAATTTTATAGTGAGAATAAAGAAGACAGCTGATGTATATAGAGTAGAAATCCCAGTTTCCTTGTTTCACTCAGATAGTAATGGACAACTTAATTTTATCTTCTCCACAAATGAAGAATGATTAAAATCTATATTTAGATATCCGAAAAATAAGAACATCTTCATGAGTATTAGCAGCACGGATTCAATTTATCACGAGGGGAAATTAATCTTTCCGTGGCTAACACCCCAAAATGTATATTTTGAATTTGATCAAAGAAAGAACCGCTCTCTTTCTCTCGTTTTGTAAATTCTATCATTTGAGATCATAAGTTGCTTTTGAAATTGAAAATCTTTATGATTATTTAAAATTTCTAGATTCAAAGCTCGTGAATACTAAATAAACTTTTTGATTTGGGCTCGAATCTTAAGTTAAAATGACGAAGACGTCGAGTTTTTTCTCGATTAGACGTTTCAAAAAGTTATGAATTTTAAAAGTTTGTAAGAAGATAATTAGTAAAAGGTACTTAACACTTACTACAAAGAGAGTCGTGATTGAAGACAACTCTATTGTCTCAAGACAATCGTTAAAATCAACAGCCTTTTGTACTTGTTTTACATCCATCAACTATATATAGAAATAAGAATCATTCAAAGAAAAATGACTCGACTAAGATTCTCGTACTTTATAAATTTTAATTTCAGAAGCAAATACGATTCGCAATTGCTCAATCCAATATAATTGAGTAAGACGTACAAGAATACTTGGTAGCTTATAAAATAGTTTCAAATCAGCTTGATTTACTGGACCATAATGAAGAAGTTCTATGGGATAGTGGATACATTGATCACTCAAATCGGTTGCAGAATGTTTAGTTGCTTTTTTTTCTGTTGATATTTGATGAAGATAGTTTATTCGAGGATTGCTTATAGCTTTCACTGTGGCCATTAAAGAATCTCGATGAATAGAAACATTTGGTAATTTATGTTCGAAATAATCAGCATAAGTTTTAATTGTTTCTAGTTTCGTTTTGTGCGTCCATAAATCAGAAGTTCGTTTTAATAAAACAATATCTGGCACAGTAATATACAATTGTCTATTCTGTAGATGCCAAGCAACATAAAGTTCATCATCGGATAGTTGAGAATGATGTTCAACAGGTTTTTTCAATCGATTACATATTGATAACATTCTTTCACAATCGATTTCATCATAATCTACCAAATACACAATACATAGAAGATTATCTTTTCTTTTTTAACTTACTTTTCAATAAACATGGAAGTAGTTTAAATGATGAATATTCAATATTAAAGTTCAGAATCGTCTGCGAACTATTTACTATTCCATCAAAGATATTTTCAAATAAATATTTACAAAAACATTTAATTTCATTTTTATATTTCGTGTAATCGATTGTTTTGATATAATTTATATCTACAGTTAATATTTCATTATTAGCACCATAGAGATTAAAATTTGGTAACTAAAAATACATACGATTTCATAAACACAAACGATATATGTATATGTATATATGTTAGATCTCGTACTTCAATTAATTTCGATGGAACAATGAAGCCGAGCTCGTCTTTTTCTTTTTGAATATTAATTCGATATAAATGCCAACTGTTTGATAAATCAGTCGATAGTTGCGGAAATAAAGTCATCTAAATATATGAAGGATTTATTTCAATCAATGTGGATTAATTTTTTTTTGTGTCTTTAATAGACCTGTTTTTCGAATATTTTCATAGTACTATCATTTTTCTTGTCAAATAATTCATCGCATAACTTGAATAGTTGATATCCGATTGAAATATCGTTTGTTATCAATGATCGAGCTTGGGACAGAAGATAAACCTCATTTAATTCTTCTGAAAGATTCGAAATTACTTCGTTCGGACATCGCATACTTGAAAATCGTTACTAACTTTGTTGTTGAAGTAATTCCACCATTTTTAAACAACACTCAAATGTAGCCTATTTTTTGTTTCCGTTTTCACACTAAATAAAAAAAAAATATTCATTGTTGAAAATGAATAAAGATATATATTGTTAATTAGTAGATGAACATAACAAATAAAAATGATAACAAATCAATTTAAATAGTATATGAATATAAGTCATGAATGTTTCTGTGAATTTTGTTTCATGTCGTTAAATGTTGCTGGTTCACTCCATGTCAAAGTCCATATACTAAAATAACTTCATCTTCAAACGATACAAACCGTCTCAGCTAAGTGACTGTCATTCAGAGGGCTTAGTTTGTTTAGTGACTCGGTTCGATGTGCAAGTCGACCTTATGATTGTTTGCAAGAGCTCGAAACAGTATTTCTCTATTCATCTAACTTCAGTGTTTTCTGTTGTAAGTTCATAGCTATGACGTCTCTATTTTCAATTAAGAGGGTGTATACATGCAACATTTTTATATCGAAGAATTATGTGTTTAGCTTGGAAATATTTAAGTGGGTTTTTTATTACTCTGAAAATTTCCCAGCACATTCAAGCTCAAGTGATTCGATAACGTCATTGGGAAAAAAAGAACTTTGACGGTAGTGACAACCTTCAAAGTCGCATATATTGACAAAATGATAGTCAAATTTTTCAAACGATAAAGAAGAACCGAAACAAACCTTGTAAAGAAATCAATTTTATGAATTAGAATATTGATTTTGAATGACATTTCAGTATTTTTGGTCGTCGAAAAATACAAGTACAAACAAAGAAATGCTGTTTTGCTGTTTTGTCATTCCTTCTGTTTTTTTTTCAAAATTACTCACCTAAAAGGGCTCCACGTGGTAATCAAAACAAAACGTCGTTGTCGAGTGGATCAGTTAAAATTGTATTAGAAGATCGCAAGAACCAAAATAACAAAAATCTCATCATTGATTAATGATCGGTACAACAAATATTATCGCTAGCAAATATTTATAGGCACGAAACACTCTATAAAAAAATCCTAACAGAAATTCGAAAAATATTATTGAAGGTAAAGCAGTAGCTACTGAGACTTATGTGTTTATCATTTATTGGGAAATTTTCAATAAGTTTATAAGCATTTCAGAATAGATTCTACATGCTTTCTCAGTATTTGCTAATGGATAAGTCCTTGTCAGCTCTCACTGTGACATATTGCGCCGACTTGTTATCAATACTGCACATCAACTGAATCCAATTTTTCGATCTCGTGCAGAATTGATAAAAACTACATCATTCGAAGACTGAAAAACTGAGTATTCGGTATCTATTTTTAAAAATGGATACTCTATAGCCTCCAACAGACTTTTTTAAAAATAGATTTTTCAGCAAGAATTACAGATATATATAATATTTTGTTTCTCGTTCTACCACTTCGCCTCTTCAACACATGTGTCGTATATGTATAGAACCGTTCACGTTCTATGTATGTGTATTAGAGATGAGAGAGGAACAGGACGGTGGGATCGTCCTGGTGTCCTATCCTGCAAGACAGGAGAAAACTGACTTTTTTGTCTTGCCTTGCGGCACGGCAGGACGAATGAAGTCAGAGCAGTAGAACAGGACAGGATGCATTAGTTTATCCTGTATTTTTAAATGTAACTTTCGTATGAATTTTTATATAAACCATTCCTTGAAATATTTGTATAATAGTTAAGATAATTGGTTACACTTGACATATTTACCATCAATTTTAGGTGACAATATCGAAATGACAAATAATGCTTATATCACATTAATCGACATAAATTTTAAATCCCGAGTAAGTATACAATGCCATGATAGAAAAATAAACAAAAGCAGATAAGCAGTAGTTATCAATGGTTATCCGTTCATCCGTGCTAATATTACTTTCTTGTTCAATTCTACGTTCTTTTAAATTATTTTCAGATTTCTAACGTTTTCAAAACAAGGTGATTTATAGATGTAGTTGAGATATCTACATTACTTGAATCTCCTCTCAATTCGAAAAAAATATAGTTGTCAAAAACGAATTACTAACAGTATTCTCATCTTAATGGAACGTATTTGGACTTTCAGCTAAATTTGATGAAAATAATGAATATCAACGTATTTTAGAATAGTTAGCTATTTCAAATGCATTCAAACATTTATTAAATTATTGAAAAACACTCATGGATCAGTTACCTTTTTTGTTGCTCTTGACGTGATCACCATATGAGCACTACAATGACTATAGTACGAAACGTTTACGCATCTTGCTTTACCATGTAATTTTACGCGCAGTGTATTTTGTTGAAAGCTAATGAAGGGTGGGTGTGGGTGTTGGTATGGATTGAAAGAGGACAAACATTTTCACACTCACACCGACACTCCCACACCAACGTCCACACCCGCTCACACCCACACCCTAAAAATGAGATGAATTTTTTTCCACAGTACTGAACTTCTCACATAAGAATCTCATTCGTTCACTGTGGTAATCGTTGTATCAACCTATTGCCACTTTTTTCGAAAGGAAAGCAAAAATTGATGAAGAAAGAAAACTTTTCGTTTTGTTTTTTTGTGTATTGCGACGCAAAAATGAAACGAAAGGAAGAAAAAGCGCACTAAGGAAAGAAATATAAAGAAAAGTTCTGTTTTCGAGAAGAACTCACTGAAAAATAGGTTGCATTGAGAGAGAACAGTAGATTCACTATAGTCAATCATTTCGGCAGAAAACTTTCACACTGTTGATGAAAAATTCAGAAGTGCTACTATAAATTTAAAGAGACGACATTGTTATGGCTTATAAGTTTTAAACCACGTTTCACGAAAGAGTCGACTGGTAACATTACAATTCAAAGAGAAAATTCTTCAGGTTAAGTTTCAGATAAGATACTTTTAGTTCAGGTTCTAATTATGCGGTACATGATGCATCGTAAGAGTTCTCTTGTTGTAAACCGCTTTCTTTATTTGTCTCTAATTCACCTTTGCATCGCATAAGTGACATTGGATATGTTAGGTTAGGATACGCGTATTTTCTATCGCGATTCGTTTAACGACTGATTTCAACTCGATGAATTACGATTTCAGACAGATTATTATCAGGTTTATCGGCTCCATCCATTTATTACGTATTTTCACCCCTCAATCAACACCTAAAATGCAAATTACTTTCACTTTCACTAATTTTAAGTTAAACATACCCAAACCAATCTAGATGTTGACTATATATTCTTAAAATGAGCTACGTTATATAGCTTGATGAGTTCTATCGAATAGATACCTTGAGTGACAACCTGTCATGAATTGTTGAATTGCTAAAGCCATCATAGGCCGACTGACTGAAAAAATGGAAATCGATATAACAACGCAGATCGCTCCATGAGGTTTAGGATACCTCTATAGTGGCTTCTGAGACTAATGCAGACCATGTCATCTTGAAAAATTTCCACATCCAAGTCCTCCGAAATCTTACTCAAATACTAGTCACACACAGCACACATCCACACCCACACTTTAACAATATAACTCCTATCAAGTTGGAGAATTATAAATAGTAAGATCGAAAATAAAAGTGTTCATGACCGAGATACCGAGACTGATCGATACCTTGACTAAGAGGACCGAGATCGAGAGATTCTGTCTCGGTACATCCCTACCTCGTATCAATTTTAAGAAGAAGGCATGGATGTAATACTATCAATAAACACTTTATTTAGTTTTGAAAATAAGCCATGGCTTAGCAAAATTAAAACAAACCGATAAATTTAACATTCTTCTTTTTCATCATTCGTATGATGTTAACACTTTTCTCATATTACTCGAAAAGATAAAAGCTTTGAGAAAAGGGTTTCTCGCGTCTTCTTTTATTGCTCGTCAATGACCGGCAATCGTAATTCTCTATCGAGTGTTTAAACGCGTTTTCTCAACATTTTGTCTATTTGAGTAGTAAGAGGTCATCCTTAATGATTTTCCAACAGTGATCGAATGAACGAATATTTTCTTTTCTTTTCTTTTCTACCATGTGGTTATTTCGAATACATTCGGTCTATACATTACAATTTTCTTTTTGTAAGTTCTCATGAGGCTTCCGAATATGGAATCGAACCGTCAGACTGCTGATTTTCATTGTTTGTGATTATCAATTCCCACAATGTTACGCAACTATACTGATTGCTCGCGTCGCTCGTGATAGTTTGATTTTTCTCTCACACCATTTAAATATCTTCGTAGCGTTTCTCCACTCTTCTAGAAGACTTAGAATCTCGTTCGTACTACTGCGTTTCATCTAACTGCGTCACTACTTCGAATAGTTCCTTTAGACAAACAAGAAAGCTAGATTTGTTTATTTCCTTTTATTTTACTCTGATTAGCGTCTGGGATTTGAGAAAGTCATGCCAAACGAAAATGTCAATCTTTGTTTGCTCAAGCGACTTTCAAGTAATGCCCAACATTTTCCGAGAAAATATTGAGACTAGCATAACGCTTTCTAATAGAAGGGATAGTAGTTGATATACAATTATACCTATGCTTTGTACTTCATATCATCAATGATACTGCGGTTTACATGAATAACGCACACTTTTCATACCCACACGGAAGAAAAGATAATTACGTAACAAAGAAACACGAAGGAAGAATGATAAACAGAGAACCTACACATTATATAATAGAGGAGAAATAGTATTATGGCATTAACCAGACAGTTAAGTAACGATTATTATATCCGTAATGAATAATTACA